GTATGTTGACTAGATATTTTAACCACTTAATCCTTGGTCAGAATTACACACAGCAATTAGATCTGTCATCTTTCTATTGTTCACAGAGGATATATTGTACAAAAGAACAACAAGTTCACAGTCATTAATGGCACTGGTTTGACTAGTATTTAGGGACTGGCTAGCATATATTTAATAGATCAAAGCTTTGTCTTTTGTCAGGGCTGGGTTAGGTTTACGGATCAGAAAGGGTTCAAGTGCTTCCCTTTTGTTGACTAATTCTCAAGCTGAGCTTTGTGCTTGGTATTTGCTCATTCCAAGGTGCTTAATTTCCTTAAACACTCACCACAGTCTGTGTATGGCATGATATTCCTGTAGTGACACACTACCTGCCTGTCTGGTTTGGCTGACCTCTTTTACAGCAGGACAAGAGCTTGTGCTGACAGGTTTCTGATGCTCACAGACAGTTTGTGAATACCAGGTTATTGTTATGTACTGTACGTGAGGCTCTGGTGACTACTTTTGCTTTCTTAGGGCTCAAACGGCCGAATGAATTAAAGTCTTAAATGACATGTTGTGCAATTTACTGTCTCAGGCTATGGCCACACTAATATGTTTCCATTTTAAAACAACGTTTTAAAACGAAATGGGCCTCTGTCAGGAGAAGCGTTTTAGCTCTGTATCAGAAATAATCTCCATCCGTATTAACACCCCTGAAAATGCATATCACATGACCTTTCATGTACACTGGGCATGTGCATGCTGGTGTAAACAGGAAGCAGATCAACTGCAGTTCATTGCTCAAGCTGCAGAAAATGCTGCGAACAAGAAACAGCAATGGCGGAAAGTAAGACTACAGATTTCTTTGCTTTAGAGATGGAACTGTTACTAAAAGTAACAGTAAAGAGTATAAGGCTGTCATGGCAACAAAAACAGATTGGGAGAAGGATACGTCGTGACTGATGAGACTTAATCAGGAAGTGAACGTGGGTGTCTGCATCATCGTTTCCAGAAGTCTTAGTTTCTCTGTCCAAATTAAAACTCAACCCTGGAGTTTTCAAAATAAAATGGGACCAGCAGCGTTTCCAAAAGTCTCCATTTTAGGGGTTCGAAGACTCCAGAGTATTTGTGTGGATGTAGCCTTAGTAAGAATTTGTTGTTGTCATGGATTATTTTAGATCCAAACTAGCGTATTCGTTTTCTGGTGTGCGTCATACAATAAGAGTTACAGATGTTTTCCCGAACATGTCTGCTACCTAACCGCATGCCATGCAAGACACAGTGACAAAGAGTCCCGGTGATATTGGCCCTGGTCAAGATGTATGGTGCTGGACCTTTTCCTTCAATGGGCTCCTCTGCGTGGCAGCCATGTTGGGAAGGAGACTACTGTGTGGTCGCCTGAGAACTTGTGTGTTTCCCAGCCAACGCGCATCTAAAGAATAACAATTTCACTAGCCATGAAGACCATCCATGGAGCCATGGGGGCCGTGGCCAGAAAGCTCGGCCAAACACTCTCCTCTCATGCAGCTTTCTATGTACTCCTATAAATACATCTCCTATTTGTATAGAGGCGATATGCATCTTTGGGAAAATACCACAATGTTGACATAAGAGCACCCTCTATACCCTCCCCTCCCCCTTACTGCCCCCTCCCCACTCTCTCCAAACTCTTTCTACCCCTTGCTGAACCTTTCAGTGCCTGAGAGAGAGAGAGACAGAGAGAAAGAGAAAGAGAGAGAGAGGGAGAAGGAAAGAGAAATGGAGGGAGACTGGGAGTAAAAGAAGTGTCTCTTAGAGGCCTCCACGGTCTTTAAGCCACTATGGTATCCACCAGAGCCCTCACATACACTCGGCCTCTAAAGGGCTTTTGTCCTGTAAAGAGGGGGTTTGGCTAAATTGGGGGTGCTTGTGGATTGGCGGGTGGGATTGGGCTTGGTGTAGTATATTTGGCTCCCACGTCTCCATCACTAGAATGGTGAACTTTTTTTTTTTTTTTTTTTTGAGTTAGCGGACTGAGAGGTGGGGTGTAGAGGGGCAAAAGGGGCTCTGGTTTTTTTTGGGGGGGAGAGAGGTTTGGAAATCTTCCAAACAGTGCCTTTTTGCTTTCAAAGAAAGCTCCACTTGTGTAAATGTGCTCTTTGTCCCTTGGCCTATTGTTTGAATAGCATTGTGGACTTTTTGTGGGAAGCTCACAGGGGCCTGGGGGGCCTAGGGGGCCAAAGCGGGTCCAAGTGGGGGGGGTGTGGGGGGTGGGGGGGTGTGTGCTCTGCTTGAATGACTCGGACCCACGACGACAGAACTGTGGAGAGTCCAGGGCACAATTAAGAAATGTTCATGGATGCATGCCAACACATAAACATACATCTACACAAATGCTTGGAAAAAAACTGGAATGTATGTACATGACATATGAATTTAAAGTGCAGCTATTTCCTGCACGTATTGGGCACCAAAAAGTTAATGAAGTAAGTGCTAACAGAGACCACAGCAGATCCTGTCTTTCTGAGGACTGCTCCCATTG